GTTTTTAAATTGTGGATTGAGTGATACTGTGATAGGAAATTTCCTTTGGCCTTTCATCAAACTATTGTGATTTCTTATCCTAAATTATTTATAATATATTTATTGATCAATGACAACTTGTTTAGCATTATCCAAATTATACCTCAATGAACTGAGCAAAGAGATCCAATTATGTAGGACTCACTAAAAAGAGAAAATTGTTCGTTATGTAGGACATATATACTTTTCATGGGTCTTTTTCTATTTCTTCTCAAAGCGTGTTTTATCACAAAAATTAGAGCAACACCGAATTAGAGGACAAATCCCTCTATTAAAAAAAATAATGACAAATTAGAGGACAAATTCCACTATTGAAATAAATACTTTTTAGAGCTTTAAAGTGTAATTATATCTGTTTTTTAGATCTATAGAGACTTATTATTGTGAAAATAAATAGATTATATATATAGCAAATCCATCAAGATAAGATGCTAAAATAAAAAGCACTTAGATGATATTCCAGCTTACAATTAATAAGCCACATCAAGATCCAACGTAACGCATACTTGTTTTGATCTCTTAATTTGCAATTTTGCATTTATCTAATATTTATTAGTCAGTCCCAATGGTGTATAAATGAATGTCATCAGCTCATGGAGGTAGTCATGAACCCTAATTTACAAACGACTTTGACAATGTATTTGACTTGGATTGTATTAGACTGCTTCAACTGATGAATCTTAAGTTTGAACCAATCCAACATCACATAATGAAGATAAAGAAAAAGAAAAATTACAGGCACTTCAATAATCCATACTCATAGCAATGAAATACTACTATATATTCCTCCTCCAAATGATAAATGATTTATTTTCATGAATTATAAAAAAAAATTGTCAACCATCAATCCTCATAAACCAACTTTTATTCTATTTCCCTAACCAAATCGTAGGTATATTTACCCCTTATCTTTTAGACATTTTCAAAATGATAGGACCTGTGATGCTACAGTTGGACAATCAAACTAATTGTTGGCCAGTACTATTAAATAGCACAAACTGAATTTTAGTTTGATAACACTCAATGCGTTCCATTCATTCAAGATCGATCCAGTAGTCAGAAAAGGGCTTTTTAGAGTCTTCTGACAGTTGAGGATGGGAAAGGTGTGAGGAGTAGTGCAAGAAATTTTATTTGTTCTTTAGGAAAATGACACAATTTTGTTTCAAACTAGAAAACACATGCCCAGACTTTTGGTTACTCAAAAAACTGGCCAATTTTGAATCGGAATTACTATTCTTTTACTGTCTACTAGAAGGTCCAAATTTAGTGGAGCCTCGTTTACAAGTAAGGCAAATGCTGCTATGAATCGAAGAATTGCACAGCGTATCTCTAAGAAGCTTTTTTTTTTTTTTTTTTTTAACAAAAGGCACTTTACAAGCAACATAGGAAAAGAAGTTGCTGCCCCCTAATCCAAACAAGTCCACTTACATTATCTTTGCTAAAGCACTATAATACAATTCAACGAGCCTTTAGGGGAGCCAACATAGCAAGGAAGTTTCTGACTGCAAAATCCTGACTCCAAACTAGATTGCGACTAATATGTGACTTCTTCAAATCCAATCGAATGTGTAGCGCACTTATTTGGTCCAATGGTAGATCAGTCTCCATCGATTTCCGCTGATCCAACTCTCCGTTATATAGGATAGTGTATGATTAGGAGTAAAAGTAGTGTAGAAAGTGATAATTGACAAAAATAATAATAATAATAATAATAAATTGTTGTGTTCAAAAATTTGTTGTGTTTTTATATATTATTTTACTAATAACTATATTTATTGTTTGGATTAATCTTTTCTATACTGACAATGTATACATTATCAGCGTTGAATGATTGATAACTGTGCAAAATTTGAATTCGTTGTTTTACTACCTACATCTGTTATGTCAATTTTCACACTGTATGCTGCCGCCACGACTAGTGACAGCGACGGAGAGACATTCTTTGAAGCATTTCATGGATAATTGATTAGCCATATCTAATTGATTCAGTGAAAAGCTGCTCAAAGTTGCTGGAGGTGGAGAAAATGAAACTTGATAAATGGATGTACCTCCACAAGAATGTAGCTCTTTAGACGGTTAATATGTTCTTCATTGTAACTTAGATATGCAGTCTTGACTTACCCTTTGATTTGTAAAGTTGCATCTTGAACAAGTAGAGGTCAAAATTATGATCCAAAACCAAGATTTTTAGCATTGTGTAACTTTTGTGAATGCGTGATGACGATGATGATGTTGGCGGTCATTTTGTTTTTGAAGCATAATTTTGTGTCACAGGTTCAAATTTCACGTATTTCAAAATAAAGTTCCAAATAATTTCTGCTTTGTTATTTAAGCAGCTATGGTGAATTATCCAAGAACCAAATCTATTGCGCTTGTCACATAAGTTTTCCAATTTATCCAAGACCAAAAAGTGTATGCATGTCGCTGATAAGAGGGTAAAGAAGAATTTCCTTATTTCTAGCGTGTAGATCAGCTGCCAGCTAGTGGAAAATGTGAATTATCAAGAACCAGGGAAGAGACAGAATAGAACAAAATCATTGCGAATTGCTATTACAAGTGAGGTCCAGAATTGAAATGTGGTAAATTACAAGAAACGCCTGTGGTTTCTCGTATTATCACTTGATTTGTTTAACATTTCAAAATCTTCACGTAACTCTTTATGATTTTATTTTAAATGAAAAAATAGATGAAAAGTACCTCCTATTAGAAAACAGAACATATTTTACTAGAAAAAGAAATATGAATGAGAAAACCTTTTTACTAGAAAAGAGAATGCTCAATTTCTTTTCTAAGAAATTTTGTCTTTTATAAGGAACTTCTTAAGGGAAAAAAAAAAAAAACTTCAATATGTTCTTTTCTAGTAAAAAAATATTTATTTTTATTCTTGTCTATCCATTCGCCAACAAAATAATTCTTTGAAGGTTTAACCCGTGACTCTTTTTTGTACCTTTTCCTTTTTTTTTTTTTGGTCTGAAATTTAAATCAAAGTAATTTGCTGCTATCACAGTTGTAGCAATAAGCAATGGTACTTATAACTTAATGCTACATGCCAAAGACAAATAAATTGTTGCTGTAACATTTACATTTATTGGTTAGTTTCTGCATTCGTGACATGCAGCTCATAATTTTGGACATTTCTTTACTAATCCCCACATAAAATGTTTTTTTTTTTAATAGCCATCTTCAATTACTTCGATAGAGACTCCATTTTTCCATTCCCACAAAAAACATTATAAATGCCATCAACATCAAATCAATTCCAGTTGTAGAAGGGTTAGCAGTAACTAGTGAGTGTGCAAGTAAAAGATCATCTTGTGATCAAAACTCAATTTTCTTAATTCTCGTTGAACAAAAAAAGAAACTTTGGTTTTCATCACCGCAAATTACAAAGCCATCATGCCCTCAGTTGAATGCATCTTTGGTTTTCAATTATTTCTTCATTAGAATTTCTGGGATTGATTTACTCAATACGCATCATATACTCACATAGTGACCCAACAAGTTTTCGTGAAAATTGCAACAACATATGATTATGCTTCTGAGATTCATTATCAAAGAAACAAATCCAAGCCTTCTGATACAGCATAGCATGCTTGCTCCACAATAGAGCGACCTGTAATTACACAAGTATGCAAAAGGAAAAGTTTAAGAGCAAACCTCAGTCTTCTACCCAGTTTTGATCCTTAGGCCCTCCAAATTTACATGGCAGAGGCTCAGTAGTATTGTACTGGGGTCACCAGCAGCATCTTCCCTTGATAAAGTTTCAAGTGAAAGAAGGAACAATTTTGTGATATTATCACTCCCATGCCCCCCACCATCTTGATACAATTGTTGAGGCAAATAATTAGAGAAGCAAAGGACAAATGTTTATTTTTTTTTTTTTTTGTAAAACTCACACTACTCATAACATGAAATTACTCTATTTATAAAGTTTAAACCAACTCTACTAACTACCCCACTAACTATCCCAATAACTCCACTCACTCCACTAGCAACTCCACTAACTCTACTAATTAGATAACATAAACAAATATGATTAATTAATAACGGTAAATATTTTTAACAATCCCTCCCTTAAATTGAAAGTTTTTCAAACATTCAGGTTAATAGAACTTATAAACTGCACAGACTCCAAGTAGCTTCCTTAATTTCTGAAATGTGGATAATTTCAATGGTTTGGTCACTATGTCAGCAATCTGATCTTCACTTTTGCAGTAAAGAAAATCAATTATTCCATCCCTTGTGAGCTCCCTTGGAAAATGAAACCTCACGTCTATATGTTTGGTTCTTCTATGTAGAATTGGATTTTTAGAGAGTTTGATGACAGAATTGTAAAACGTAAAATTCTAATCACGCCTAATTAAGATTATATGTTTTACGGAAGAAAAAAACTTGTCACGTTGCCTTTTATTAAATATTAAATAAGTTATTAAATATTAAATGTCAAATAATAAAAGATGCCTTTTATTAAACATTAAATAAGTTATTAAATATTTAATATTAAATAGGCAATAAAGTACTGTGAAGGCCAAAAGTCTTCGCCACTCATGAGTTGAGCGTCGAAGGCTTTTAAAAGAAAAAAAAAATTAAACTAAACCAAAATAAATGAAGATTAAAAGTATTTTTGTCAGCAGCCTCGTGTCTCAATTGTGACGACACCTTATTCAGAATCTCATCCCAACAGAACACCAATTTTCTGACCATTTTCAATTTTGACAATATTCCTAAAAATTCGCATGCTTGTCACTAATTAAAGTGAGCAATAATTGAGTGATACCTCCATGGGACAAGACAACCCGTCTCCACTTTGGTTCTTTGGGCCCGCCATACTCACATGGCAGAAGCTCATTGGTATGGTGGGAGCATATGCCTGTTGGTACCATCTTCCCTTGACAAAGTTTCTGTTTCACCGGGAAGAAGGAAAAGTCTTGCGATGTACAGCAACCAGACCTACCACACGCAGACAGATATATTGAAAAAATAATAATAATAATAAAAAAACTTGATCCTTGATGGCAATGTGTGACTGCTGTTCTTCTTGTTGTTAGATCATAAGAAAGTTGCAGATCTTGAATATCAATAGCTACAACAGACAGAAATCAAACATCAGAGTGAAAAGCAGATTACCATGATGAACATCTCCTCCAGCAGTAGCACTAGTTGCTTCGACTATGCTTTAGATTATCTGGGCTGGCTTGAAGAGAATTTTTGGAGAGAGGTGAGCTGGCTGTTGCATCCTCAGATCCTGAAGCTGAAGGTGGGGATACGTCTATTGAAAACCTTTGATATGTATATTAGAAAGTGTAGGAGGAGGAGTAACCAGGGAACGTGTTTGGGATATGATAAGGAGAACAGGGGTGATGCTAAGTCTGACAGTTTGAGACTTAGCAGTATTTCATACATGATTCAAGATCTAGTTATGGTGATACCGCAGGGACTTCACTCTGCTATTGTTAGATACAATCAATCTGGTGCTTCAGATCTTAGTGTCATCGATTGTGAGCTCGCTAAACTTGCGGAAAATATGAGGTGTTTTCCTGAAATAGATATTGAGGAATTCAACATCACCAGTTTGTTGCTCTACTACTCACTGGGAGATTCACAACTAGTTGTGGATTTCATTGATTCCATTTCAGAGAATCTGAGGTATCTTTGCCGCGTAGAAGATGAAGTTGACGAAGCTCAGAGAATTGTACTGAAAATTCTTGAAAAGAAGCTAATGTTCTTGAAGAGTTTCATTGGTTTTGCCACACTTCAAGGTTGTGAGGTTCAGCAATCAAAAGATCTGTTGGTCCACGTCGAAGTTGCGGCTGTCAATGCTGCAAGCCTGATGTGTAGATACTGGTTTCAGATAAATAATGAACAAGTTCACAATGAGATGAAACCTGAAATTTTCGAACTGATACACAAGAAGATTGATCCCATTGACCCCCAGGTCCGAGAAATGTATATCAATGTCTTGGCAGCTTCCAAGTTATCAAGATCGTCCTACACTTTCACTATGAAGGAGAATAAGCATCTTGTGACTGAATTTATTGATAATCTCCTGCAGAGTCTTATGGAGCTATTAGAATCTTATACAAGTTTCCTAGTTCCAGTGAAGGATCAAATGTTAAAACTCCACCAGGGACTAAGATTCCTGGTTATCTTTCTTAGCGGGCAGCAGGAGAAGTTCGATGAGCTAAATGATGAAATGAAGGATCTAATTGGAGTTGTGGTCTCTGATGCAGGTATTGTGATTTTCTCCCTTTCTGTGAACGAAATGAAAGAAGGGTTGCACATGGAAACAGATCTGGCACTTTCTCATTTGCTCGAAGTGCTCAAGTTGATCATTGCTGAAGTTGGACACATTTATTCAGTACCATCATCATCATCATCACTTACTTTCCCTAGGACTAATGAGCTCGGCTCTCTTGATTCTCTTCTAGAAACTCTCAAGGAACTAGCAAGCTCTACAGCTGCTTCAATTGCTTTCCCAAACGATCAAATACGCACAATCCTAGAAGATCTTGTATTCTTAAGATCTTTTCTAGGAAATGTTGTGGAGCAGCGCAAACGGAATGAAAAACTCCAAGCTCTTTGGAGTCGTGTCATGAAGGTTGCTTACAGTGTAGAACTACAAGTTGACTCTGCATTGGTTAGTGATCAACATGAACATTGTCCGGATGCTGTTGCTAGAGATATCAAGCTTATGAAGATAGAGGCTGAAGAGATCTATGATAGCATAAGATATGATGGTGAAACTCAGAGGCTAACCAAGACTACCGTTCACATGCCATCACAAGTTACTGCTCCATCATTTAATGAAGCTCTGGTAGGTCTCAATGATGAGGTAGAAAGTATAATTGATAGACTTACGAGAGGATCAAGCTGGTTCGATGTTGTTGCCATCGTGGGTATGCCTGGGCTTGGTAAGACAACTTTAGCCAATAATGTCTTCGGTCATCCTTCAATAAAGTTCCACTTCCATATTTGTGTTTGGTGTACTGTTTCTCAAGTATATAGCAAGCACAATTTGTTACTTCAGATTTTGAGTGTTATTGATTCTAACTGCTCTGACCAATGCCATAAGAAGAATGAAGATGATTTGGCTCAAATGTTGTACCAACGTTTGAAAGGAAAGAGGTATGTCATTGTTTTGGATGATGTTTGGGACATTGATGGGTGGAATTTGTTGAAACACTCATGGCCAGATGACTGCAATGGCAGCAGGATACTCTTAACCAGCAGATTTCAGAATTTATCATTGCAAATTAAACCTGATAGCCAGCCCCACCATCTTCGCCCACTTACCGATAAGGAGAGTTTTGAATTGCTGCAGAAGAAGCTATTTGCCAAAGAAGATTGTCCTCCAGCATTAAGGGAAGTTGTACAGCACGTAGCAAAAGACTGCAAGGGCCTACCTCTCACCATTGTCCTCGTTGCTGGAATTCTCGCTACTACTGAGCAAGATTGCTGGGAAGAAGTTGCAAGACGTCTAAGGTCTAGCATTTTTGCTGACGATGAGCACTGCATGAAGACAATTGAGCACAGTTACAATTATTTACCAGATTATTTGAAGCCATGCCTTCTTTATTTTGGTGCATCTCAAGAAGATAAAGACATTCCTGTCAGAAAGTTGTTATGGCTTTGGATGGCTGAAGGATTCGTGCAAAAAACTGAAGGAAAGAGTTTAGAGGATGTGGCAGATGGCTATTTGATGGATTTGATTGGGAGAAGTTTAGTTATGGCTACCCAGCAAAGATCTTTAGGTGGGATCAAAGCTTGCCGAGTTCATGATTTGGTACGTGAGTTTTGTGTGGCAAAAGCAAGAGAAGAAAGTTTTCTACAAATTTCACATGGGGATGATCATCTTACTTTTATTGGACAGTGTAACCCCCACCGACTAGCTATTTACCCTACTACGAGTCAGGGACTCAAAAAGTCAATGCTATTTTTCCCCAATTTGCGTTCCTTGCTCTTCTTTGATGATGATTATGAATCTAAAGCGGAACAGGGTGAAATTTGGTTCAAACTTCTATCATCTAAACTTATTAGAGTGTTGGATTTGGGTTACAATTTGGCTTTTGGTAGATATTTTTCAGAGAAAGTAGAAGTATTCTTTGTTCACTTGAGGTACTTGAGCATTAGCTGGCATGATAAGGATCGTATCCCATCTGAAATCGCCAACCTCTCAAGGTTAGAAACATTTTTCATAAAAACCTATGAAAGGTGCATTTTGTTACCAAACACTATCTGGAACATTAAAACATTGAGGCATCTTGTCGTATCATCTTATGGAAGTGGTTTCGAATTTCCCATCGACAATCTATACATTAAAAGTTCCCGGTGTGGTTTTCGTTTTCCTGCTGACAGTCTTGCCGGCTCCCCGGATTTAAAACATTTAGACACTTTAACCCTTGCAATTGATTCCTCTCCTCAAAGCTTGCAAAAGACACTGACAAAGATTCCGAGCATCCGCAGGCTAAAATGCGTGGATGTCCATGACGGAGTGCACGTTGGTATTCTCGTGCTGGACCACTTGAGTCGACTAGAATCACTTAAGATGAGCAGTTTTAAAGGATATGAGTTTGAATTCCCATTGAATTTGAGAAAGTTGACTCTCTCAAATAATGGTCAGCCATGGAGTAAAATTTCAGCAATTGGAAAGCTGCCCAGCCTTGAAGTCCTTAAATTATGCTGTGATTCCTTTGTGGGGGAAAAGTGGGAGATGAAAGAAGGGGAGTTCCAAAACCTCCGATTCTTGGAATTGTCAGAGTTGGACTTTCGATGGTGGACCGCCTCTTCTGATAATTTTTGCTGTCTTGAGAAACTGGTTTTGAGTTCTTGTGAATCGCTGGAAGAGGTCCCTTCTTGTTTAGGGGAAGCCCTCACTCTTGACATGATTGAGCTCGGAGGCTGCCGTGCGTCTGTTGTGACTTCTGTGAAGCAAATTCAACACCAACAGATGGATATGGGAAATAATGATCTAAAATTAATGAAAGATGGGCGCTCTGGTCGGTTTCGGTCTCAGAAAGAGTTGGCCCGTCTCAGAAGCAAAATAAGGATCGGATTATCAGGTTAGATATATTTTCTTTGATGTTCTATTTGTATATGTTCAATCAGTTCAATGCTATTAATTTCACCCACTTCATGTTTTGCAGCCTACACAAGTGCTCTTCGTTTTATAGAGACTAGCAAGATGATACCGTGCGCAAGCACGGTGAGAAATTAAAGTGATGCCCAATATGAGGTGATTTGCATGCAATGTATGGTTGTATTTGTTATTTTGTTTAATGAATGAAATTAAGACATTATTAATAAAAAAAAAATGAATACGTGAGGTGGCTGCATAAGAAAAGATATTGAAATGTACGTGTGTGGTTTGTGCTATGAATGAGTAGGAAGTTAATAAATTCAATGAGGAAAAAACATGTAGTTTTATTTTTCTTTTATAATAATGCAGGAAAACATGGTGAGTAAAAAGAAGTAGAAAGTTGTTAAGAATATTCATTTTAGATAGTTTTTTTGTAAAGTGGTATAAAATGTAATAGATGAAAAAAATTTTGCTGGAAACATATTTTGGCGGATGCATATTTGTTTAATTGATTGCCATATACAGTAACATTTTGTTTGTCCTGTCCATTGATGGAGATTACGCTTTTCCGTGCTACACTTTTCCTTTCCCAAGTTTGACGTTAGTGTATGATTTCTACACAAAAAGCATATAGTTTTGATTTCGCTCTAAAACTTCAGAATTATGCTTGCACACATGACTGACCATAGGAAGCGGTAGTGTCTCAACCGATGGGATTTTTGAAGCAGGGAAAGTGGTTGCAAGTCTCTGTATATATACCAAAACAAATCAAGTGGCCAAAAAAATAAAGTATCAATTGGCACAGGCAAGATCAGATGTATTTTCTTGACATTACATCTGCCAATACAAGCTTTCTTTCCTACATGAAAATGATAATACAAAGTCAAATTATACTCCCGACTACAGTTTAGCATGACAATTGCAACCCGTCCCATGACGCGCTTCCACACAAAACTATACTAAGCCTTGCCCACTGCCCCCAAAGGCATGGCATGTTCTTTGGGAAAGAACTGCAACCCTATAAAAGCAATTCAACCCCTTGATCACAAAACAAACATGGGGGCAGAAACCCAGGAAAAAGAATTATTTTGTGTTTTATACGTATATAAATTTGAGATTAGCAGTCCCATGTATGTCAAAAGAATGATATCAACACATTTCGAGAATAATTATTCCTCCAAAGATGGAGCACATATTGAAATTCTTTCAGTTATGAATTTTCTTTTCAATATTTCTCATCCTGTTAGATACAACAGGAGACAAAGATCCGAACCACCAACAGTCAAATGCTAACATGATAAAAAAGCAGAGCCCATCCAGCTGCAGTGGACTTATTAGAACGTGTTCCAGTGGTTGTATGAAGATTCTTCTGCAGAATGCCAACAACAAAACCGCTATTAAATTTCATCACAAGTCAACCACAAGCTGACTCCGAGATACAAGTATTGTATCTCTACATAAACCATGTAAAACGACCAAGCCTATTTACACAGGTTGGAGAGAGAATACCATCCATGTAAAGTCAAAACAATTCCAGATAAAAGACATTTGGTCAAACAGCAGCTAATATTTTATGTCTACATACATGACATAAAAAGGTAGCACCAGTGAGAAAGATTCATATTTATCAAGCAAGATATTGATGATTCCTATATTTATGAATCTTTATCAAGCCAGATAAGTTTGTCTTTCTAAATGCCACTGGAGTAAAGGTAATTTACAAAAGGCTGCTAGAAATTTTTGCTGCAGATTTTGCTTCCAAATGTTTCTAAATATGAATTATATTCCCTATCAGAACATTTTGCAAACAAGTCACTTACATGACCACCTGAAAAGGATGACCCTACCTTACCTCCACTTCCCCAAAACCACAAGATCAGGTAATACCAGTTGTATCACTAAAATTCTTAATTTGGAGAGCTACACCTAAGTACTATATCTACACTGCGGATCAGAGAATATTACAAGAAAACAAACAGTGGGCAAAATGCTTTTTGATAACTGAAATTATCCAGTTAAGATTATTTAGAAATGATGTTTTATATGACCAGCCAATTCATGGACCTAAATGAAGGTTAAATAAAAAGGTTGAACACCTCATACAAGAGCTGGACAAAGCAGAAATTTTTTAAAGCCTCAAGTTTAAACTACCAACCCCTCCTTTAAATCGACTCAGATGAGGCCTTTATTCCAATCACATGATGATCAATGATCCTTCTTGATGGGAGTTTCTGAAAGTTGGCAGGTCTCAATTTTCTTGATTGTAGTCTGCTACAATTAAGTGCTCTATCTACCTCTAATAACAAAGCCTCTTGGTATACAAACTTCTGCTGTTTAAATTGCATAGAAGGATAAAGAAAGTTCCAAAAACGTAACAGACAGGAGAATGGGAACCTCAAGTTGTGACAGATCTGCCAGTGGATCAGCAGAATGTCTAGCAACTTCCATGGGCCCCTTAAGAGCAGTATTATGCCTTCCCAAAGTCATCCTAGCAGCTGCAGAATCATTGGGAGGAGGTGGGAAAGGAGACTTAATCCTCACTCCTCCACTGGGGGTGGTGCTATGCTTAGAGTTTTGGCCTTTACAGTTCCAGGATGTACACTTAACAATCCTGCAGCTGAAAGCATGCCTGTTCCACTAGACGGTTTGTTCTTCACATTAATTCAGATAGTTTCACCTTCCTAAAATATAAAAAGAAAAATGTTAGTCCATAAGAAAAAAGATAACATCAACACAATAAAACTTCACCAGTAATATCAGAATATAATAAATGAAGAGAGAGCAAAACTTGCACATAAAATCTGAGGTTGCTAGATAAACCTAACAAAGAAAGACAATGAATTCCAAAGGAACACATAATGAATCAATTTCAAGAGCCAATTTAGACTATTCCTCTTCATCGTTTTCCTCTTAATTGGACAAGTAAGCATAGGATGAGAATGCAGCACAAATTCTATCATGGACAAAAAATAATGAGTCTAACTACTACTCAACAGATTTCAATAGCCTATCCAATCCCAAAATCAGTAAACAGTGCAGTAAAGAATCCTAACATAGACAAACAGATACCAGCTTAACTATTAGTCTTGAAGAAGTCAACAATCTAGCGCCCACTCTCAAAATTCTTTTAACAGCATTGATGGTAGAAAAATAGACGATGAATTCTTAACAATAAGCAAACAATCTTTAGATGGCAAGTAAAAATTAGTGAGGTAATACTCTGAACATAGCTTTTCTGTGAAGCAATAACTGGACTCTGTACTTGAATCTAGCTTCTTAACTTACAAGTCACAACTAATTCGAAAAGGCCATTTGCACATTCAACAAAACTGAAATAGAAAAGTAGTCATGCATGCACCAATTGCCTCATGCCAAAGTACTCTTAACACTTACAATTCCAATGACCTGTGACCAGAATAGAGCTATTAAACCTATTTAAGCAAGCTTGTAACTTACAATTCTCTATTTCTTTTTTCTTCTACTAGTTCCTTTCATTAATTCAAGTACCTAATGCAGCAGCGTACCGTACAGGAGGACATCCAAAATAAAACCACAGACTGCTGGAGATGCATGGATGACTTGATAGCCTTCTTGCATTACTGGCCTGCAACGGATCTTGAATTTCTGATGCTGGCAAGGTTCTTGAATTGAATATTTCAACTGGATGGATCTCTCACTCACCGGAAGCTTCATCAGCTATTTAAACTTCCAGTTTGATCTTGTTCTTGACAGATAGTCTCTTCATTCCAGCTCATCAAGTGTTGGAAGGGGATCTCTCTTCGCCGATCACATTTGGAAGGGGATCAAGTGTTGCTTGTAGCTCAGACTCCGAAAGTGCAGCAATACAAATTCCATTTGCTCTTAATCAAATGAAAATGACTATTGGAATCAAGTGAAAAATTTTTAGATTGCATTGATTTGCTCAAAAGGAAAAAAGCATGCACCAAATTGAATTGGATGGTATATTTTTCTCTCAGTAATTAACTTGCAATACGTGATGAAGATCTGAGTAGGATAAGAAGGATAAAATTTTAGATTTTGTTTATAGTATTAAATATGTCTCAATGATGGACAAATTGTATTTTTGTTTATAGTGAACGTGATTTTTTATCCGTGTCTTGTTCATTTACATATCTATTATTTACTCCTCCTGTTTATCCATATTACCTTCTTAAGGAAATCCCTGTTTTTAGTGAAGGAAATTTGAAATGGCAGCCATCAACCATTAAAAGTGTCTGTGATGCCCATTTTCTTCTGATTCAACTTTCTTTTTTTTCAACTCCAGTAATAGATTTTTGTTAATTAATTAACCCTAATCCTAGATTGTACTCCAAAAGCCGGCAACTCTTGAAATCATCCCAGGGACTTAACTACCCCTCCCAGAACCGATGTCAACTTTCATTTTTGTTCAATTTAGGATTATTAAAACAGCAGTACTGCAACAGATTATTTTTTTTCGAGTTACAGATTTCTAATATGTTGCAATGGAAAATGCTTCAAATTTCGAACTGCTTGTTCAACGAAGCAAAACTGCAGCCAGATTGGTGGTACTACCAACTATTTACCAACAAAAAACTAAAAATAGAGACAACGAAAACTGCTACTGAGGTCCAAAAAGGTTGTGGTGGATATTTTGTTCTTAATGCGTCACTAAGCTAAAAAAAATTGCGAATTGCTCTCAGCTAAAAAGTGCATCCAAGTTTTTTGGACATTATGTATTAAAATTTGGTAGAATGCTTAGATAATAGACTCACTTAGCATTCTTCGCAGGAGAAAAAGTTGAGAGCAGAGTGCAATAGGCATCCTGCAAGTCTAAACACACTGTGTTATAGCGTTGTAATCAGCTTTGTGAATTGCAGTGCCTAAGGGGCAGTTTTATTACCATAGGGTCACTTTTCTTTCAACAACTCTTGAATCTACTTAAAAAAGTGTTCAAATCATGTAAATTGATGTGAAAAAATACGACGACCGTCCGCCGAGTCCGGTGTGGGCAGCTGTTGCCGGCGGCGAAGATTTCTTGAGAAGGAGAAAGAGAAGTAAAAGGAAAGATAACAAAACAAAACAAAAATAAAATATAAAAAATACATATAATATTTGAAAAAAAAAAAAGAGGAAATTTTTCTAACTTTTAAAATTCATTACTACGAAGTTATCAAATACTCTTTGGTTTTCATCAAAACCTATTATTATTATCAACTTTATTATACTCATACAGAAGTTGACTGTGCAATTTGAACCAAATAGCTCCTTAATTTATGGTTGTTCCATTCTTAATTTTTTTTTCTTTTTCTTTGTTCCTGTTTTTATTGAGCAAAAATATGTATGTATGGGACGAATTGCATTTAACACTTGGTAGTACATTTAACATCATAATCCCCTATGGTAATAAAATTGCCCCTTATGTTTCAATATAAAGTCAAAATTTTATTAAAAAAAAGTTTATTTTTGATTAATCAAAACTTAAAAAAAAAGAGTTAAACTTTTCATGGCTAGATGAAAAATGATTAACCCTTAAATCATTTAACAAAAAAAAAAAGGATTAATTACATCTACCTCCCTTGTGGTTTGACCAAACTACCATTAAATCCCTGTGGTTTGGTAATATTACAAGCACCTCCTTTTTAAGTAACTCCTTCAAAGACACTTAAATAGAAGTAGTAAAATGTCATGTTTACCCTCTTTGTAAAAACTTGTAGTTAGAGAAAACTTACCGTTAAAAAATCGAAGGTAGTTTCAATAATAACGAATTAAACTAAGAGTTTGCTACTTAAGTAAAACAGTTTTTAACCAGTATAAAAGAAAAAAAAAATAAAACCAAGCATGTAATAATGAAATTTGATAAAATATGTGCAGAAAGGAACAAAAGAAAGAAAATGAAGAAAGAAGGAAAGCCTAGAAAACAAAAAAGAAATTAAAAATTGAAAAGCAAAGAAAGGAATGGAAAAAAAGTATAGTAAAAAAAGGAAACCAACAATTGAGCAACGAAAGAAAATTTATAGAAGCAACGTAAAGGTTCACTCAATCCATCACAAAAGAGTCTCTACAAGTATGTAACCCTTTGTCGGCCAATAATCTTGTTTGTTGTATTTCCCTTCTCTGAAACTACCACAACCACATCGACCAATCCAGAGACGAGTACAATCTCAAACTCACTCAAATTGTCAATGAGGAATTAATGGTTATCAACCAGGATCTGACTTAATTCATGCGGGTATTTAGAGTTCCAAATAATCATTTTTTCAACTCTGGGTTATATCTGTAGTTGGTCATTGGGTTTGATATTATCAAATGGATTTTTTCTCGGCTTATAATGGAGTTAAAAGAATGGTTGTTATGGGAATAATAGAGATGAAGGCAATTAAATTTCTATAAACTTATTATGATTTTAACAGTGAAAACGTGCTCATCAAGAAAATGATCATGAAAGAGGTATCAATAATATGTCTCGATGATTTTGCTGCCATAGTTATGTCAACGGTGGTAAATGGAGTAGTTTAGATTTTGAAGAGAAGCAACGAAGGGAAGGGGAAGGTTATGGATTTAGGGGCATTTCATTAAATTTGTTGATGGCATCATTATAATCTTAACAGTCAACAACAATGGACTAACGGGAGGGGTGTATCTGTTATACATCTTTCAGTTTGAGGGACCTTTTTGTAGTTTGGCTAAATTCCAGGGAGTAAATGGTAATTTGATTAAACCCCAGGGGAGCTAAATGTAATTAACCCAAAAAAAACTATATAGAGAAAAGAACTATAAGCAAAAAAGTCAACCTTTTCTTGACTTGATAAAAAAAATTAACCTTCAAATCATTTCACAAAAAAAAAGGAAAAAAGAAAAGAACCAAAGCGGAGTACTACTCCACGTCAGCAAGGGCTAATTGCTACTAATCTAGCAAAATTAAACACACAAAAATGAAAGGTCATTAAAGTTGAAAAAAAAAAAAGAAACCCCCAATAGTCCGAACTACAAGAAGCACCATGCACAATTGCAATAAAGAAGATAGGAATGTTAGTCTTTCGTTATCATTTCTCCTTTTCTCGACACTTTTGGGAGTATTTCACATATTAAGCGATTCAAGTAAATCATTAAATGCATTATATACATGTTTGTAACTTTTGGTGTATGTGATGCTATATTATCCATTGCAATAAAAAAAAAAAAAGAGAAGGCTGAGATCTTCTCAATTGAAATTTGTATTTTTTAAATAACAAATTGGCAAAAAAAAAATTTTTTTGGATAAATTCTTATAAACCCCTATAATTTTAAATAATACCAGATGAACCCCTTAAAATTTTAAAACAATCACATATCCCCTGTGGTTTGAAGTAAAATGAAGAATGAATGAAATGTATAATCAGTTATGACATTTATATAAAACACTTTTTAAAAGTACATATGATAAAATATTAATCTTCATGTAATCTCCCTGTACTTTTATACAAGATAGTTAGACTATCGACTGATTATCATTTAAACAAGCATACTATTGGTATTTCAATTAACGATGTTACATAGATGATTTTCTGTCAAATTTTTACTTTGTATAAAATTATAAGAGGTGGGGTGAATATTTTAAAACGTTAGGAGGTCATGTGTTAATAGACGAAATTATAAGAGGATGACGTGTAATTTATCCTAAAATTTTTAACAACCCTCCCAACTGGCACTAATTATTATTGAAGCCCACGATGGCCCAGTAGAATAGCACTAAAATTGTGATGGGTCCCACCCATCTAGCACTAATGAGCAATCATGCAACGAAGTTAAAGATTTAGAAACCTGAAAACGACCTCAAAACGACTCGTGTTTCTGCCTTAGTGGATGCAACAAAAGGTTTGTCGACAAGCACCGCTACCTGACCGGAGGTTGTTAGGGAGGTTGCGAAGCTGGTGCCGGCGGCCGGAGCTTCTGCAGTGAATCTCTTCAAATAGAGCTGACTACGGTGCTCGTTAACGACAGGTATTTTTAAATTCATGGAAATTGAAGAGGGAAAACAAGAATAAGTTGATTAATTGTTCCATTTCATCTGCTGTTTATATATCCTGTATGTTCAAGGAAAAAATATAAACAAGGGAATGAAAGAGGCGGAGAACAAAATCAGTTTCCTAGTTGTACGTTTGATACCTTATGCTCGGGTTTTTCAGTTTCGCAGTTGTTTGATGCCTTAACCGTCAGACTAAGCTAATTAGAGAGAGAGAGAGAGAGAGAGAGAGAGAGAGAGAGAGAGGGAAAGAAATTAAGGGGAAATTCTCTGAAAAGTTTCCTGCTTGACTAAGAAATTAGGACCACTCTATGACCATAAGTCATACTAGTAATACGCTATGCAATATATTTTTAGTTTTTGAAGACAGGAAAAAAAAAGTGGAAAAATAATAAAAGCATCTGTTACGTGTAGTTGGAAAAAAAAATTTTATTCGAAACGATAATTCCTATTCTACACACTCCTACTCTACACTAAGGGATGAGATAGATCCAAAGAAATCAATGAAAAATTTAAAAGGGACTGAACCATAATGAGATGACACTTTTAGGAAATCGTAGAGAAAAATGTAAGCCAAAAGCTGTGATCCCTTGATCCAAACCCAAGGGAGTGGTGGTTAACTCAGCCTAGCTAAGTTGGTTGTTACTAATAAGTGGATAGATGATTTTTTTTTTTTGGAATCACGTTTGACATTTTTTCTTAACTAAAAATATTTGTTGCTCCACAAAGACTAATCTTCTGGGAACTTTTTCTATTGGGTCTGGCTTAATTTTTTGTCTTTGCCTTTTTCCCTTTTTTGGTAATCTCTGGGTTGATTTTAGGGAATCAACCGTAGAAATTTCCAGTTTCAACTCTTCTTAAAAGAAAAATTATTTGAATGAAATTTTATTGCTATAATAACACCTAGGAGTTATCCAAAAAACAAATGTATTGCTTCAAATCATAATCTTTAAGCTCTAATTCAGTTCTAGAAAGCCAACCTTATGTAATTACCAAATTGAGCTCTACCTAAAGTCAATTTCATAATTATGTCTTGCCATTATGAGACTCCAACAATCACATCACTTGGGTAATTCAACTAATTGGGTTGCATCATGCATGGCAGTTAGTTGATTTTGAATCTCACCCTGATCTGTCAAACTAAGAAGTTGGCATTCTTATATATAGCTATATATATATATATATATATAGTGCATTTTCATGTAATTGTTAATTTTAAACCCTTTCCTTAAGTAGTTCCTTCAATTCAAAATTTTATAGGGTTTTTTAATATACTTCTTTAGTTTCCAAAAGTGCATCCAGGAAATTTTCCTTAACAATCATGTTGAATGAGAAATTGACATGCTATTCTTCTTCAGTTCCAAAACTACTGCCAAAGAAGTTTCTAAAACTTTTCTCCAAACAATTTATTTCCACACCATTGCTCAAGAAAATTAACAATTTGTTTCCACACTGTTGCTCAAGAAAATTAAGGAAATTTCCGTATTTGTTTATGCAATTAATTGACTGCTTAAAGCAATTTGTAAAACTTCTTTCCAAACATTTTCTTTCCATGCTATTGCTCAAGAAACTTTAGGAGATCTCCATATTTCGGCTAATTACTTAGAATATAGGTAGGAAAAAAAAAAGTCGAACACTTATTGATCTGACACATGTAAAATATAAATTTATTGTTGCCGGACTGACACACCCGTCACTTGACCCATTTTTTTTTTTGTGTCAGACACCTGACCAAATTTTTGAGCTTTTAAAAAAAGCTGGCAGAGCTACAGAATTCCTAAAGCTAAGAATTCGCCTGTGTGTCAGAAGTGGAAAAAGGTTTGAGGGGACAAAAACTAGAGGTATTGCCAACAGATTGAAGAAACAGTTCCATGCATTTGTACTAAGCACGTATAGAAGGTAAGTTCTAGGCCTAATCTCCAAAATGCGTCTATTGAGCGAAAGACACCGAATTAAAGGAGCAAGAGAACTAGGAAACATCCTTTAACTGAACATCCTTTAATTCAGTTCCAAAACTGCTGCCTTTTTAATGCACCAATCCACTAATGCAAACTTGCCTTTTTAATATAGTATAGACATATATAGATGTATTCCAATTTGTGGAACTTTCTGTTCATCTGTTCATCTATAATGTATGTTAAAAAATTCATATTTTTAATTGGTGAAAATTTTGTAATGGCAGCCATGGAACATGGAAAATGGCCCTTTTTGGTTTAGCAAATCAGCTCAGGATTTTTATTTGGAAATCCTTAGATGAAGACCGATTTGATTGAATTTTGATCTCGGATTGGTGTGTGATCTGGTCTCGATCATTTCTTGTGCTCCTCATATTTAGATTTGATTGCATATTGCAGCGCTACAAATTGGCTATGTTTGGATAGCAAAATTTTTCAAAAAAAATTTTTGCTTGCATCATAAACACATTTCCTTTATATTCTCAACCACTTTTTATCTCACATGCATCACATTACAAAAAGTGATACAATAATTATTCTAAATAATTATTTTCTTTCTACAGTAATGCTCTACACCATAATTGATTTTCTTTCTCCCTCTTTTTTTGTCTTTTCAAAATAATAGATTAGTAATAATATGATTGCTACCGGCAATTTGCTCATCTAAAATACATTATATTCTTTGACTTGCTTGTTCAAATTCCTCAGTTTTTCCACCAAAATACATAGAAAAGAAAACCAGTATGAACTTTAAAAAGGTTTTGGTAAAAGATATTCGTTGCAAATTTGTCATCTTTGCAACTTAAAAAAAAACATTCAGCCCCTCATCTAAATGCATCTCTAATTTTTTAAACATTTGTTCCTCAAAATTTCTTAGATTGATTAACTCAACATGCACCGTATGCTCATATGGTAATTCAACAGTTCAAATCCTACTCATATAGTGTGACGACCCCACCTCTCCCTAAGGCGTACCAAAGGGTTTAACGGACCGCCTGCCCAACTCTCGCCGGGACTCACTCACTACTACATTCCTCAAATAAATTACAAGGTACAACTCGAATAATACATCCAATTCTCCAAAAATTACATATCATAAGCGAAGCGGAAACTAGGTCTAAGCGTCGAATGTAGATATACATCCGATTCAATTCCAAATATTTATACAGGTCCAAAAGTACATAAACCAAAACTAAATTTAAACTATACAAGATGTACGCCATCCAGCCACACAAAGATCCAAATACAAGTTCTTCCTTTACTTCGATCCCTGTGGGGAGAAGAAGATAATAGAGGGGTGAGCTAGAAACTCAGTGAGTGACCAGTAAAATCAACAGCCAAGTATATTTCACAATAAAGCATTGATATGATGTCATGATGCAGTAATCAAATGTTCATTTATTGCTCATGTGAGCCAGTGAAGTTCTTGTACTTAAATATCCAACGCACGTTTAGATCAGGTAACCGGGAAACAGAAGTAAGGAGCCATCGTGCTCCAAAGAATGTGTAAACAGTAGTGGAGACATTGGTTCTAAATACAAGACTTTCCAGGCTCTTATTGGAGCCAAATTATGTCATGGCACACACCCAAACCCAAATGATATGCAATGGAGTAATAAATGCAAGAATTAGTTCAAAAGTAATTGAAGGATCACTCACCAACCACGACTCACGAACCTCATCCATCATTTATTATTGTCTTGCTCAAGTCCAAGCCCTAGATCACAAATGGAAATAAGGACTAAAACGATCAAAGCGGAAAAACAGTAAAGGAACGCATCGGGCGTGCGCGGAAATGAAAATGGTACAAAACGGTTTACACGATTTTGCCCATAACTGGAGCTGTGATTATCAGATCAAAATGTACTAGGCAGTGTCTTGAAGCTTAGACAGAGAGTTACAACTTTCATGAAGACACCTCAACCTAGTTTTCAGTATATCCAAGTCAAATTTGCCAAATATAGAACTAGAACTCTAAAGGCTAGTTTATCTTTCTCGTGAAAATTTGGCAGCATGCCCCTTGTGTTTACCTAATTTTTCAACCATTTATGACTTCATTATTTTTCCTCAACCAATCCCAAAGTCATACATATCATAGATTCAGATCAATAGCCATTCCATAGGCTCATAACAACATAAGAACAAAAATCAAAGTGATAACAAGTGTGGAAATGTAACCTAGCAAAAGACAGATTTGACGTGTGGTTGCGGAAAGAACACATCCGAGGCTACGCTTATCAGATTGAGGCGTAACTTATACCGTTTCGAAGCTAAGACACAGGGCTACAATTTTCATGAAGATCACTTAGTCCAGTTTCTAATGCAACCTAGTCAAATTCCCAATTTATAGAACCAAAATCCAACTAGTCGGCTAATTAACCGTACTGCACTGGAATGGTCATATATCAGGTTATCAAGGTCCGATTAAGGTGTTCTTGGAGGCGTTTAAAAGCTAAGACAGAATAATAAAACTTTCATGTTTTGGCAAAAGCTAAATCAGTGCGGATCCTAGTGAATAAACGTGATAAACTGGATAAACTGACCAAACGGACTACTGGGAAAAACCTTAAAATAGTGAGGGTATTTTGATCTTTTCACTGGTTATGTTGCTCCGATTGAGTTGAAATTTTGTAGGCACCTATAAAATACCATTCTCTACAACTTTCATGTTTTGGGTCAAACCTAATTTGGCCTCTAACTATGAGTATTAAAATCGGGCAGAATGTAATCCTGAAATTCCTGAAATCTGGAATTTTTGAAATCTCAAGTCAATCCTTCCATTTTCTTGCTTCCAATTCTACCAAAGCCCCTAATCTACTCTTATATACAACATATACTAAATATAAAACAAGGTTAGGCAGAAATTAATCAAACCCTAGCTTGCATATCTCATCCAAGAATCATCACAACAACTTGCTTATCTTGTAATCAAGCTAAAACATGATCTAAATAACATCTTAAACCAAGATTTAAAGAAGCAAGGATCATGATCAGATTTTTATACCTCAAGAACAAGGCTTGGAAGAGTGATACTCCACTTCCTTTAGAAATTTCTTGGTTTCACAAGCTTCCCAACTCACAACCCACACTTTAATCGGTTTGAAATTTCAATTTCTTACTTGAATGATTCAACTCAAGAAGAAGGAATTTGTTTTCTTGCTCTCTTTCTCTCCTCTCCTTGTTCGGCTATGGGGCAGAAATAATGAAGGGAAAAGGAACCAAATTTAGGGATAAGAAGGATGACCATGTCTTGGTCAAAAAACCCTTAGTGTCGCCACCACCACCTTTCATTTTTTTCTCTTTCTTTCTTGCATTTCTAGCCTCAATTTTCGGTCAAGCTAGCTGGAAATTGAAAAGATATCTTGCTCAAATATCCATAAGCTTGTATGGTAAGAAAGTGGTGGTCAAGTGGTGAGTTCAATCGGTAATGCGCGGTACCCGTCGGTTCGCGCTGTTTTTCTTAAAAACACAGGTACTAGGGTTTTTACTTCCCATTCACTAACCTTATATCATTGCTCCTAATCACATATTATTTCTCACTTAAAAGTCATTTTTAATCACCAAATTTGATCCTTGCTTCGTACCGAAAATTCATCCGGCGAAAATCGCGTAAACCCTAATTTTGCTCCAATCTTGAAACCAAAAGTGAAACCCTACTTTCTAGATTCATTGGCACTTATTGTGGGGTGATTGAGTAGTAGGGTCATTATAAAGTGATATTTGTCAAAGAAAAGAGAATTTTTAAGAAAAATATAAGGAATTTGCACGGCTTCTGGCCGGATTCTCCACAAAACACTATTCACCAGAAATTTTTCCCCTTTTCTTCTGCCACGGGGCGTCACAAACTCCCCTCCTTAAAAGAATGTCATCCTCGACATTCCAACTTGTACTAATCAGATCAAAATAGTTCTCGAAAGTCGATCACGTATTAAGAATCATGTCAATCTTGCTTATCATAATCAAATACTAATCGGATCAAATATCTCAATGGTTAATCACATACTAAGAATCACTTATCACAATCAAGTACTAAAAGTACTCCAATTCAACTTATCAAATAATCTTGATCCAATAGATAGTCAGACGAGTAACTGGATACATATACAAAAGGGCTCGAAATCGGACTTAAAGTCCTTGATATTTGGAAAAACAATCCAGGACATAACGATGTCTCAGATCAGAAAGTACCCTGGTGATGCTTCATCAGAAAGTCTCAGGAATTTGTCCCCGGTGGTACTTGAAAACACAACAAGCTAGCACTCAGCTATACTTCACCAAAAAGTCTCAGATGCAAGATTTTGTCTATGGCGGTGCTAGACAACACAACAAGTTAGCACAACGGCTATACCTCGCCAAAGAACCTCAGTTCAAAATTTCATCCTTGGTGGTGCTTGATAACACAACAAATTAGCACAACAGCTAAATTTCACCAAAGGATCTTAGCTCAAGAAATTGGCCCTGGTGGTGCTTGGAAATACAACAAGCTAGCACTACGGCTAAGCTTCACCAGAGAGCCTCAAGTCAAAGTTTCATTCCTGATGGTGCTTGGAAACACAACAGGCATGCCTCGCCAGAAGAATGGCGGTGCTTGAAAACACAACAGGCCATACCTCATCAGAGAGGTTCTGTTCAAGAATTTCAATCCCTGATGGTGCTTGAAAACACAACAGGCATGCCTCGCCAGAAGAATGGGGGTGCTTGGAAACATAACAGGCAATGCCTCACCAGAGAGGTTCTGTTCAACCGCTACAGAAAAGTAGTAGCCGGTCTATAACCAAACAAGTACGAAAATGTTCAGAAACAGAGTCAAAAGCAGGGTTCAAGTGTATCGGTTCAAAAGCGGGGTCAATTATTTCAGGTTCAAAGAACATGAGTACGAGTAGGAACTCACTCGCCTAGCTTATGCCCAGTAATTCACACTCTCAAGCAGTCATCAAACTCAAA